AAACCTTATCAGGAAAAACCTAGTGGGATAAAAACCTGATGAAGGAAAAAAGAGTGCAGTACATTCAAATACTCCCCCTGAAATTAAGATATATTTTGAAGACGGCGCATGCCGGTTTTTTGTACAAGTTCCATGAACTTCTTCGGGGGTAAAGATTTGGTGAAGAGATCAGCCGGATTTTCACTGGATCTGATTTGTTGAATGTTGATCGTCCCTTCTTTCTCCAGGTCATGAGTAGAGAAGAATTTTGGTGATATGTGTTTCGTTCTGTCTCCTTTGATGTAGCCTTCTTTAATCTGAGCTATGCACGCAGTGTTGTCTTCATAGATCACAGTAGGCTGACAAGAGGTTTCATACCGCATTCATTTTGGACGTGTTGAATCATAGATCGTAGCCACACGCATTCTCTCCCGATTTCATAAAGTGCAATTAACTCCGAATGATTTGATGATGTAGCTGTCAAAGTCTGCTTCATAGATCTCCACGAGATTGTGGTGTTACCATAAGTAAATACGTACCCGGTTTGTGATTTCGCCTTTTGAGGATCTGATAAGTATCCAGCGTCTGCATATCCGATTAAAGTGGCTTTTGCATCTTTGTGGTAGAATAGGCCGAGATCAACTGTACCACGGAGATAACGGAATATGTGTTTGATTCCGTTCCAATGACGCCTTGTTGGACATGAGCTGTACGCCTGTACCTAGCTAATAAATTTACATAAAATGCAATATCTGGTCTAGTATTATTAGCTAAATACATTAAAGCTCTAATAGCACTCAGATATGGTACTTTGGGACCGAGTATTTCTTCGTTGTCTTCTCGTGGACGGAATGGATCATCGTGTATGTTGAGAGAACGAACCACCATTGGTGAAGTTAGAGGATGAGCTTTGTCCATGTAGAACCGCTTCAAAACTTTCTCGGTGTAATTGGATTGATGAATGAAAATTCCATTCTTCAAATGCTCAATTTGAAGTCCGAGACAAAAATTGGCTCTCCTGAGATCTTTCATTTCAAATTCTTTCATAAGATATTTTGCTGTATTTTCAATTTCATCGGGAGTTCCAATAATGTTTAAGTCATCAACATATACTGCAATTATGGCGAATCCCGAATTTGATCGACAAATGAAAACACATGGACTAATTGGATCATTCTTATATCCTTTTGGCGTAGGGACTATCGGTCCAAAAACATCACGTTTTTCAAGTGATTTCAATTCAGCCTGAATAGCTTCATTCCATTGTGGCCAATCATGTCGTTTCCGACATTCTTCAATTGATGTTGGCTCATTGTCATTGTTTTCATTCATAACATTCGTGGCATATTTGGAATATCAATGTTTTCATTCATATCATTCATAACGTAATTTATTGAAATTTCATAATTATCAATGTTTCTATCATTATCTGGAATATCTTCCTCGTTTGAGGAAGTTGGATCATTATTTGAGATGTTTGTTTTGTCAATATCATTTTCTGTGCCAGTATTTTCAAATTGTTCATTTTCTTGTTCAGAAGGATGAACATCTTTGGCATCACAGATCAATTACTGTCTTTTAGTTTTTTTTTTTGGTTTCATGTCTTTTGATCCAAGTGGCCTGCCACGCTTTTTTGCGTATGGAAGAATCATTTGCAGGAGATTTTTCAGAATTCTCTGCTGGGATTTCGATTCTGGCAGGGGCATTCATAGCAGGAATATGTGACTTTGTCACTTTCTTTGTATTTATGAATGCATCAGGTAACTGATTTGCAACATTTTGTAAATGGATTATCTTTTGCACCTCTTGTTCACATATATTTGATCTAGAATCAAGGTGTGAGAATCATGTTGCATTCCATTTAATTTCTTTCGTACTTGGGTCCGATTTATTAGTTTCTCCCCCTAAGGTTGGGAATATTGTCTCATTGAAATGACAGTCAGCGAACCGTGCGGTGAATAAGTCACGAGTCATCGGTTCAAGATATTTTATTATTGAGGGAGATTCAAATCCAACATAAATTAACAACCTTCTTTGAGGACCCATTTTTGTACGATGAGGTGGAGCAATCGGGACATAAACAGCACAACCAAATATCTTTATGTGTGCTAAGTTTGGCTCTTGTACAGTAACTGATTGCATTGGGGAATATTCATGATATGCAGTTGGTCTCAGCCGAATTAAATTTGCTGCATGTAAAATAGCATGCCCCCAAGCTGATGAAGGTAAATTACACTTCATCAATAATAGTCTAGCGATTAATTGTAATCGTTTAATCAAAGATTCAGCAAGACCATTTTGTGTATGGACATGAGCAACAGGGTGCTCCACATCAATCCCAATCGACATACAATAGTCGTTAAATGATTGAGAAGTAAATTCTCTTGCATTATCAAGTCGATTCTCTTTATGGAATGATCCGGAAAATGAACTCTTAATCGTATAATTTGAGCAAGAAGTTTAGCAAATGTTAAATTTCTAGTCGATAAAAGACTAACATGTGACCAACGTGTTGAAGCATCAATCAACACCATAAAATATCGAAATGGTCCACATGGCGGGGCTATCGGCCCACAAATATCCTTGAATCCTTTCTAAAAATGCAGGTGATTCAGTTGCAATTTTATTCATAGAAGGCCTGATGATCATTTTGTCAAGAGAACAGGCCTTACAAGGAAAATCACTTGATAATAGAACTCTGATATTCTTTAATGGGTGTCCAAGTGAAGTTTTAATGATTTCATGCATCATTACCTGGCCTGGGTGACCTAAACGGTCGTGCCACAACGTGAATGTTTTCAGATCATCTAACTTTGTGTTAGAAACCAAATTTATTTCGAATGGACTAGTATATGTGAAATATAGTCCTGAAGAATATGCTGACATTTTTTCACAAATATATTTAATGCCAGATTTAGTTGTCGTAAGACAAAAATATTCCTTTTGGTTTTCATTCATGGTTTCTATGTGATAACCATTTTGACGCATGTCTTTAAAACTCAATAAATTTCTCCGCGATTTGCTGGAGTATAAAGCGACATTTATAAGTAATTTTGTCCCGTTAGGGGGCATCACATATGCTTTCCCAGAGCCTTCAATGAGCTTCGCAACACCTGATATAGTATTGACTTTAGCTTCAACTAAAGTCATATGAGAAAAATATATTTTATTTCTCAAAATGGTGTGTTGTGGCGCTGTCTATCAGACATAACTCTTTATCATTTGAGTGATCCATATCTGCAGAAAGATGATTTCTTGAAGAGTTTTGAGCAAATTCGTGCTGATAATGTGTTGTGAAATGAAGAAGATGGGGACTAAATTTAAGAGATAGATATATAATTAAAAACCTCTAAATAACTTCTTCTTAATCTCTGAAATTTCTGAGTTTTTGTGAACTCAATTACAAAGGATTGATCAAGCCATATTTATACTAGCTGGGCTTGATGATGAGTCATTAAAGACTACTTCTACATTTATTGCTGACTGTATTAAACTTAGTCATCTGTCTATCTATGATTACAAGGATGGAAAGAAGCTTAGTGTCCTGGTTACAAGGATGATGACAAGGATGAACAATTCACACTTGTCATTCCCAGAATTTTACAACATCCATCACTCTTTTTTGGTACTACGTTTAATTTTAGTTTTTTACTAGTAACTCCAATTATTTTTTACCTTTCACTAGGTGGGAAATAGTTCCTATTTTTAAAACTTTTCCTATATTCCATGATTAAAAAAAAGCTTTTCGTATATTCCTTCTATTTTTACTCTAATTCACTAAAAATAAATTCAATAAAAATAGTTCTTAGTTTCTACTTTTCTGTAATATATAATAACAAAATGAAATAAGCAAGATATTTTGATTGAAATTATCTTGCTTCATGCATACATTTATCGCTACTTAACACATGCAAAAAGTCTTACAACTTAATTAAAAAGTGGCTATATGCGTATTAGTATCAATTTTTTTGGTGCTACATTTTATTTTATTAATAACTCCAATTATTAACCAAAGTATCATGTTGGCGTTTCTCTAAGAAAATCAAGTATTATGATACTAATTAAATCTATTAATTCGTGAAACAAAGTTTAAAATAATTGTACATGTCAATACATTTTTATTTTTTATCATTAAAATGGTTTAGGTAGTTATACTAATTATGTTAATAAAAAATAAATCACGTCCTTAAAAGTCATTTAATGAGTAATCAGCTGTTTCTAAACAGTCATTTAACCAAACACTAATTCACAGACAGCTAATCCAATAAGATAATCAAAACAGCCAACATAATTTATTGTCATTAATCAGCCAAACACCCCCTTCATCTCCTCCATTTCATTTCCTTCCAATCTCTGAGTACATACTCAGGGCCGGTCCTAGAAGGAGGGGCAACTTGGACGACTGTCCTAGGCCCGAAAAAATAGCAAAAAAGGCCATTTGTTTTCTTTATATATAGAGCCCGTTTGGTAGTATGAAAATCGGCTGATTCTGCTGAGATTTATGAAGTTCTGGCTAAGTGGCTGCATTGGCCGATTTTGCTTATTTAAGAAAAAATATTTTTAAAATATGTTTTATTAATAAAATAAAGAAAAATATATACAAAGTATATAAAAATAGCTAAAATGATTACTTACAGTAACTTCAGCCAATACATCCAGAAAAGTAACTCTAACCTTACTTTTTCTGCTTATTACACAATTCAGCACGAGAACGCAAAAGTTATGTGTTTGATGAAAAAGTTAATTGATAAGCCTGACAAGCCGAAAAATTGTGTTGACAAACGGCCTCATAGTGTGAGTAACTTTCTTTTTTTTTGTATTTTTTTGGATAATCTTTATTGTATTTTAAAACTCATTTAATTAGGTCCAAGGTTTAATTTTGTTCATAATTTGAAAAATATAAAAGAAAACTTTAAAAAAAAATATAAAAGAAATGTAACGTGTCCCTCCCAAATTTCTTTTTTTTTTTTTGATCATCCTCCCAAATTTCTAATAACCCAAATAGTACTCATTATTTTCTTGTTTCCAATTTTCAAATTGGTAAAATACTAAAATCCAAAATCAACCAACGAAGGTTAAAGCCTAAAGTCTGTCCGTCTTGGCCGACTGGTCGTTTTGCCCAAACGCTGCAAGCCTTCAATTCTGCAAAGCCGTCTGTGTACATACTTCATAAACTTCCGATCCACGATGGTTGGGGATCATAGCTCCTGGTCGAGAGCGTTGACGCAGATCTCTCCCTACACCTTTTCAGCTATCGGTATTGCCATCTCCATAGGCGTTTCAGTATTAGGAGCTGCTTGGTAAATGTCATCTTCTATTTCGCCCTTTCTGATTCACTAGAATGTCGAGTTCCAGATGCTGCCCTTTCCTCACTAATTTGAATTTTAAATTCTCATCTAGGGGGATCTATATAACCGGAAGTAGCTTGATTGGCGCTGCCATCAAAGCTCCTCGCATTACCTCCAAAAATCTCATCAGGTAAGTTTATATCTGTATCTCTTTTGATGTTTGCACTATGTTTCCCCTCGTAAGAAAATTCCGTTAGAAACGCTTTGGTTTTTAGATCGACTGCGGCACCTTGTACACCCACTTCAGAAGCACATCTGATTGTTGTTCTTACATTTAATCACCTTTTTTTGCAATATTTGGGAACAATTTTAGAGGATCCTTGTGTGAACTTTATCACTAAATTCTCATATGGAACACTTTTTTATTATTATAAATAGTTAGTTTCTATTTCAATTAATTCACCTTCATGAACAATGGAGACTGCAACATCACATTGGAAAATGTTGATCCCGAATGGAATAACTATCACAATGCTAAATAGTTAATTAGTACGGAGTATTTGTTAAAAAGAGAAAGTATGTGGGGAATCAGTGTAGGTTGGGACATCTTGTTAAATATTCTAGATAGCTCAGCATTCATCATCATTAATGCCGGCTTACAGTGGGACCAGTGGTAGACTTACTGAGTGGAAACAAGAAATATTACTACCTTCGTCCCCTTTTTATTGGGACAGAAGGGGGTGGCACGAGTTTTAAGAAAAGTGGGTTTGTGTGGTTGATATTAATTGATAAAGTAAGAATAAAGTAAGAATAAAGTAAGAATGATTTTGAGCCACACAAACTTTACCAAATAAGGTATGGGACAATTAAATAGGGACATCCCAATATGGTAAAACGGGACATTTAAAAGGGGACGGAGGGAGTAGTTGTTTAGTTTGAACATGGATGAAGGGAACTGAAGCCTAAGTTCATTTGTCTTTTTAAATGGCTTAATTTTCTTTTGTGATGTGAGGGATGCTCGTATGATCTGACAGTGATCACGATGATGTAATTATCACAATTACTATAAGAGACAAATCCATGAAAATGAAATAACAAATTCCATACGTTGAGTGGATTATTCAAATGGATGATATTTTGTACTACATATAACTTTTTTTTCTGGCTCTTCTTGGGCAGTGAACCTTGTTCGTTGTGGTCTTAATGGCAATTTGTTCTCATTCACAGAATTTGTTTACAACACTTGTTAGCTACTAGATAAATCTCACAAAAAGAATACTTCTATTGTTGAAATTCAATGAGCAAGTAAGCAACCAAAGCTGATTGTTTTCTTATTTATATCTCAAATATTCTATCATGTCAACTAGTCACTATGTTAAAGGGCTGATATGAAACATTTATAAAAGCGAACCTCATTCTTGCCTAGAATAAATTATCAGGTTTCTTGTTCCATTGTTGTATTATTTTCCTTAATGTTTTTGTAAAGCCATGATGTACCCGTTTTTGTCTTTGTTAGAACACAAGGCATTAAGACCTTAGATACTCCCTCAATCCCATTTTGTAAGAAACACTATCCTTTTTAGCTTATCCTAAAACATGAACAATTTTTTAATTTGAATTATACTACCTAATTACTTGCCCATTTCGTACTTTTATCTAACTTTTCACCTTTTACCTTTTTTGGACATATACTACCTATTTTTTGGGGGTTTAAATATTAAAATAGCAAGTATCATCTTTATTTTTTCATGGGATAACCTGAAAGTTGAAACATTTCTGTGAGGCTTAACATACTAGTCCTCTGTCCTTCTCCTTTCCTTTTCCCTTGATCTGCTATAGTGCTATACACCCAAAAAGAAAATGTCCAAAATTCAGCAGAATTTATAATAAATTATTGAGCAAAATTTGACAATATAGATCTTTAAGTTCTTGAACTGCATTAAAATTGAGGTCCTAATCGTGAGTGATTGTGTAACAATAACAATCAATAAGAAAGGAAGATGAACAAGAAGTCAAGAACACTAAGATTTATAATGGGTTTTGCTCAAACTAATGCTGGAAAAACCTAGTGTTGAATTACCTGAATGGACCTTCTCCAGTTGAACATCTGGAGTATGGCCATTTAGAGTGTGTTTTTAGGATCATTGACTTTCATTTTTTAAATTTACCCCACATATTTGATTGTTTTTCATAATTGGATTCTTCTACTAAAATAATTTGCCACATTTCAGTAAACCAACTAGCAAGTTGCCACAGAAAAAGGTATCCTTGAAGCCAGATGTAAACTCCAAATGGAGGAATTGAACCTTAATTCAGTTGGGGCGCCCAATTAAGTATTTGCCTGTTTGTTAGTTGTGACCGGGGGCAATTACAGATTCCAGATGCTTGGAGGGGACCTATATTGCAGTTTTCACTTTTCACTTATATATATTTAATATCTCTTCTTCATTCATTGACCATTCATTATGTTTTTTATATTTCTATGCAATCCCAAATTTATTTTAGCTAAGGAACTGTGAAATTTCATTGTAAAGCATAAATTAACTATTGAAAGGAGTTTCGAGTTTTGGTGATGGTTAAAACATAAAACAGCTTCCCAACCTAGATTAAATAATTGGTTTTCCCTTCAAATTGGACTATAGTAAGATTTCTAGCACATTGGAAGGACTTATATGGGGTTTGAGTTGTATTACTAATTTGTGATATTTCCAGTTTGATTGCAAATCTTATTGGCTTATGTAGCTATATTCTACTCTTTTCAGTGTAATTTTTTGTGAGGCAGTTGCTATATATGGTGTCATTGTGGCTATCATACTCCAAACAAAGCTTGAGAGTGTCCCTGCCTCCCAGATCCATGCACCAGAGTCCATTGCAGCTGGCTATGCAATTTTCGCGTCAGGGATAATTGTTGGCTTTGCCAATCTTGTGTGCGGGTAGGTTTAAATGTATTTTTGCCTTTTCATTTATATTATGCACTCTTACTATTCATTTTCTGATTGTCTTACCTCTTGTTCTAACAAAGGATATGCGTTGGAGTGATTGGAAGCAGTTGTGCTTTATCTGATGCACAAAACTCTACACTTTTTGTTAAGATTCTGGTGATTGAGATATTCGGTAGTGCATTGGGCCTCTTTGGAGTTATAGTAGGAATAATCATGTCAGCTCAAGCAACTTGGCCATCCAAGGCTTAGTGAGTTGTGCTTCAGGTTGCATTTTACTTCATATCTTCTTAAGTGTTCTATTGTTCTGTATCATATTGGTCTCAATGAATTTCAGAATTTTTAATTTACTCTTTGTTTGAAAAAATTGCAATAATAAGTTTTGTGTTTCTTCTTCTTTTTCTTTTGAATGTTTGATTTTAAAAAGTTTGTTGCTTTGATTTGTGCTGCTTATCCCACGCTGCCAGATGTGCACAAGAAAGAATATTAAGCCAGACAAAGTCATACGGAATACGAATAGGTTTGCGGCGTGCCAATGAGGATCTTGTAGTCCAAATTTTGTTCCATTCTGTGTGCCACTCTTTGTTGTTGGTTAGATAGAATGTGAAAATAAAGTACATGTTGTTTATGGTTGTACGAGTATCGTGTTTCCCGTGAATGTATATTTGCAAGTTAAGATGCCTTTTGTTTCTCCAGTTTACCTGTTGGTATATTTGCAAGTCAAACTGCCTACAAGCAAATGATTCTCTGTTGGTTAACTTGGTTTGTCCCTTGGCTAATATGTTTGGGCCATTTAATGTTTTGGTATCCGCTGTTATCTTCTGTTGTTTTATCATTTCATAAATTTTGTTTTCAATTTTATTGATGGATGAGATGGTTCTCATGGTTAAGGAGTTGAAGTTCACCTTCTTTGTTCCTTTTTATTGTGTAAACTGTCAGTTTAATAGGTTAAATCATTGGAACTTCAACAAATTACTTTAAGAAATGACATTTCGTAGCAAAACCTCTTTAGGTAGTTACCTAATTATGTAGCTAAGTTATCTCGACAGGTTAGAACTTTGAGAAGTCAGGTTATTGGTTTAGTTTAACTAATGGATTAATTTTGAAGTCTAAATGTGCGTGCATAGAGTATCCTGCATTCCTGCTCTTACAAAAGAAATACTGACCGTATTGTATGTGCATAAACAAATGTGCATGAAGGCATTTCATATAGCGTAAAGAGAAAGTGTCAAATAGACCTCTAACTTTCCTTGACTATGCAATTAAGACTCCAATAAAGATTTGTAATGTACCATTATTTTCTACTTTTCTTAGGAAACAAAACGAAATTAATTTGTAGATTTAATATGGAAACAAAATTAAAGTTGAACGTTTATATATGTAATAAAAGTGTTTGGAAAATGGGGGGACGCGACTTTTAATTTCATAAACTCCAATCTCCATAGTCCATATGATGACAAGGTATTGTTTTAAAAAATTAAAAGATTTGTGAAGTGGACATCAATAATTCATACACAGTATACATTCACACATTTTATAAATATTATTAGTATTAGAAACGTTTACAATAATCTCTATGTATTAACTGTGTAAAAAAAAATCTCTATGTATTAACTGCTTCAGAAAAATGAATGGCTACTTAACAGTGTTTCCTGGCTTTATGCTAGTTCATTTTGTCAAACTCCTTGGTTTAGTCACGCAATTTTGGCTTAGTGTTATTCAACTTTCGAACTTTTTTAATATTAGAAGTATCTTGCGTAAACTTGACAACTCTTGTAATAAATCAACATGGCGTCTTGCCGTAATTAGAATGAGACATTTTTTTGATATATCCTTAAAGGGAAAGTGAGACGAGTAAATAGATATGGAGGAAATACTAATCAAAATTACGATTCGAATTGTATGAAATGAAAAAGTTTTTTGGTATCTAATCGTTCTTTTTATTTTTTGGAAAAATTGATAGTAATAATCTCAACTATCGGCGGTCTGCTTATAATAATCTCAACTATTGATTATTTCAGAATAATCCCAACTTTAGGGACCTTCCGCTAATAATGGTCTCTAAGAATAAATTCTTGTAGTTTTTAAAATGGATGAGAAGAGATATAACAAGTAATGCCTATAAATAATACTAACTTTTAATTTTTACACTTAATTTATAGTTAAAATTCACTTTTTATAGGAGTTAAATCTGATCATGGACCATTATTGGCGGACGGTTCATATAGTTGGGATTATACAAAAATAATCAATAGTTGGGATTATTATCGGCGGACCGTCAATAGTTGGGATTATTATTTTCAATTTTTCCTTATTTTTTTTACTAGCAAAAGTGATGTTTTGCCTAAACAACCGAGCGAGCCCTAATATTGCTCAAGCCATTTTTGTTTTATGTTTTTTTACGTAGTAATTGTCATTTCCCTTACAAATCCCTCAAGGCCAACAACCTCCGGAAGACCTCAGAAATAGCACATTCGAAATCGGAGTGGAATCGATCTCACTTGTAAGGGCCGACCTGAGATCACGTTGCACCTGTTAATCTTAGACTAGAAGCTTCCTGCAGCGCCACCATGTGGAGAAAACTCTCCATCGATCTGCTCCGATCTTCTCCGAAACTCTCCAGATACGGCGCAGTTTCTTCGTCTCCGTCCGCAGCGGTTCTCCGACCGTCAGTTGCTCTCTCGTCTCGCCGCTTCAATGCTGTCGCTGGTAAGCCTCCTCTATATTCATGATTCGACCTCTTTGGGGGATAGATTTACCCGATTCTCTCTGGTAAAGAAGAATTGAATATCTGTATGAACGTTTGCGGTGTAGAAAACGTTGTTCCCAAAGTGCGAGTCGAGGATGTGATGCCAATTGCCACGGGTCATGAACGGGAAGAGATCCAAGCTGAGCTTGAAGTTAGTCTTCTGTCATCGTTTATCGTTCTCCTACTTTATCTTCAGTTATTAGTTATTACATGCACATATGAATAGGATTGATTAATGTATGTTTTGATTGTGTGCTTTTCTATTCTTTCGTTAACAGGGGAAACAGCTCCTTGACATTAACTATCCTGAAGGTCCTTTTGGCACTAAGGTTAGAGGCGATTCTGGTCACCAATTCATGATGCATGAGTTATACAGCATTGGCTATCATTCATTTAAGACCACCACTAGTCTAGATTGTCATTAAGATTGTTTGAGGAATGCATTACTATTTATAGCTTCTATGTGTTGTGTGTGTCAACTTTCAACTCCTGTATTTGTTTAAACTTTTTCTTTTGGGTGATACAAAGATTTGTTCTACCCGGGCACTGGTGCCTTGGTGCACCTACTGTCTTTGTTCAGAAGTTGAACTATGTTGCTGCCATTTGGAAAATGCATGTGCTGTGAAAACTGATATGGTGCTATCCCATGAACAGAAGTTTTGTTGCTCAATTTGTTATATGAATTAGTGGGACACTGGGACTATAAATTAGAACAACATAGTGATGAAAGAAAATCCATTTAGAAGCCGGAAGAGGTTAGCAGTCAATTGCATTTCTTGTGTTCGATACTTTGATGGACAGTTGTCATCTTTGTAATTACATTGCATAGTACTCCATATTAAACATTGGATGCTCCTCTCACAGTAGATGTTGCTTTATGTCTTAAATTATACGTTGCTCAACATAGTTGTTTGTGCTTCATTCTGTAAGAATATACAAGCATATCTGATAGTAGAGTTAAAGAAAAAACAAAGGAGAGTACTCCACAGATAATGTGTGAGAAGCTGCAGTGAATTTTTTCTACAATTTGTCTTGAGAGTTGTAACAGGATTTTAGATCAAAATAATACTCCCTCCGTCCCGAAATAATTGTCTTGTTTCCTTTTTTGACAACAATATGTAGCTCATCTCAATTCACTTTTTTCTACTCAAATCTCAACCACAATTTTTACCTTTTCAACCACTTTCTTAAAATTTGTGCTAAAGCAAACAAAATAATAATTTCGAGACGGAGGGAGTAATTACTTTTGAGCAATTTTCATAGAAATGACTCATTTACGTTTTCATCAATGAGACTGGGGATTGGGAACCACACAGCCCCATTGTGTACACCTATGTCTTTTACACTGGTTAATTATTACTCCCCTTGTCCTACTATTATTGTCCAATTTTTCCTTTTCTGTCCATCCCACTAAATTTGTCCCATACCATATGTGGTAATATTTGTGTAGCTCTAATTCATTTTTACTTTATTCCCATTTTATCAATTCATTATCAACCACATAACTCCATTTTCTTAAGAACCGCACCTCTCTTTTGTCCCAATCTTTGGGGGACAGAGGTAGTTCACTTGATCCACTATTTTTATGTTTTTCTGCATGCAGTCTAAAATGCATTTACATGTTAAAGCGTCCTAGAGGTAGAGTTAAAGCTTGCCTACATCTCACCCTTCCCTAATCGTACTTGTGAGGTGCCTAGGTTTGTTTGATTTGGTGTAGCTTTATGTGAAAGTGTGGAGTTCCTTAAAATATCACCAATGTTATTTTTTGTCAAATTGTCAGTTATTCTAGATTGAATGTGAGAAAATTGTGGAAGGATAAGACTAAATGTTTCCATGTTCGACTTATATGATTAGATTTGGACTTTCTGTTATACCGAAGGGACCAAAGTGGAATTTACTAAATAATCATGTACTACTTTTTCTACTTGCTATCAGGAAACACCGGCTGTTATCAAATCCTACTATGACAAAAGAATTGTTGGATGCCCCGGAGGAGAAGGCGGTATGCCTAGTCATCCAATGCTTTAGTTTTGTTCCTACCTACAGATCTATTTTGATCCTAACTACAGTTGTATTTTTATCCAAACTACTGGATCAATTTTTCTCATTTTCCAGCATATAACTATCATGAATTCTTTTTTACTTTTTTTTTATTAATAACAAGTTTTGATGGTTCTGAAACATTGCTGTCCTATCTTACAGAGGATGAGCATGATGTTGTTTGGTTCTGGTTAGAGAAGGGCAAGCCACACGAATGCCCTGTGTGCTCACAGTACTTCGTTGTAAGTATACCATGATAATAATTAACACTGATGTTCGGTAAGAAAGAAAAATAGGCCTTATTTTTATCCTCTACCAAATGGAGAATTTACTATTCATCATAGTAAAAATACCTTGTTATTTAACTTTTTAAATTTTGAAATTTATTTTGGATGTGCATGCTGTGAAGGTTTAAACTATACCTCCAAAATCAATAGTAAAGTAGAATTAAAAAACTACTCACTTTAAAAAAGTAGATTTACCTAAACCCAAACACAAGACGTGATTAGTAATACGTAGTAAAAACTGCTTGGTAATAGCTAATAGGGCCCTAAAGTGTGCACTCTGTGATGGCTTTGTTTTCGAGCTTAGTTTCGCTTCAAACTTATTAAAAACTCATGGCAGGGCAACTTCAGTTCAGCTAGCAACACTTTATATCTTTCTCTAAATTACAACATAAAGGTGCTAATTATTTTTCTTTATGTTGCAGTTAGAAGTGGTTGGTCCGGGAGGACCACCGGATGGCCATGATGATGAAGACGACCATGGTCATTGAAACTGCAACTGCTCTCTACCAGATGACGTCTGGTTTGGATTTTGACAGATTAGTTTTCTGCAAAATCTAGATTTAAAAGCTATGTTTTTCTTTTGCTTTTGCTCTGGATAATGCCATTCATATTGTTGCGATTGCAAGTTTGCAACAGCTAAAAACATGTCATACAGTGAGTTTCTAATAATTAGTTATTTGAAAGACAAAACATTGGCCAATGGCAATGTAAACATCATCGAGTTTTGCAGCATAAGTGTTGGGTGAAGTTTGATTCAAATATTCAAACTACTATACATAGTATGACGTCTTACACTCTTACATCTACTGTCCATTGTCTATGCCTTAAATTTCTTGTGATCTTGTGAGAGGAGGCACCTATCGGGAGGTGATGAGAACATTTCAGGGTTTAGGTATCATCATATGTCGAAACATTTCAAGCTACCCACAGTAGCTTCTCAAAGAATGCATGTAGCTTTTACCATTAGTTAGTCGTAACAGCTTCTTATGCAAAAGTGCAAAACATAACTAGACTAACCAGTCAATGTTTTGTCAACTTTCTTCTTGCTAAAAACTTATACAAGTATTTTTTAGCTAGTTGTGCCAACATAACTATAATCAATTGAATTAATGAGTTCTTAATAGAAGCTCATTGGCTAGAGCAAATTCAAACGGAATTCTGTAAAATTCAGGAGTCCCGATAACAAGTGGATGTATTTGATAAGAATGTCTATAGTACTTTTTAGTTCAACGCCATTTTTTTGGAAGAAAGTTGCTTATGTTGGATAATCATAATTCAATTAATATACAAAATGACAAAGAGTCTCTTTCCAACTGTCTATCCTCGATGGGTTTAGTTGAGCCAGGGATGCAATAGACTTTTCTCATCCAACCTAAACTCTAGAGTTCTGCTAGTATAAAAAAAGAAAACAACCAAAATCACATTTAGTTTGAACCAAATAATAAAAATAAGAGCAAGTTAATTACAATAAATCCAAACTTGAAACAACTTCTTCCAAACTTTAACCACACGGTTTCTCAATGGCGGCAATTCGGGAGGTGGACGGACTGATAATAATGCATCTTCTTCCTCTCCTCTCTACTTATTCATAATATTCTCTGTTACAGTGCTACCACCAATCGAAAATGTAGGAGAAACCGTTGTGTGGTCAAATGTCGACTGGTTAACAATAGACTCCATGATTTTTTCTTGCCATGTTGAGGAGCTGAAGACGAACATGCGAACAAAAACAAAGCTTGCGCAATGCGCTAGGCTGAAATCCCTTACTTGTACAAAGCATTGATCGCCCAACAACAGGAAAGAAACCATGGGACACAATAAACCAAGTATGTGCGATGATGAAAATCTCTGATCACACACACAAACACGATAGATCTTATCGAGAACTCAACGATCGTCCGTTTGTATACCCTAGGACGCGCTCAGGTTCTTGAGCAATAGAGATTGAGCGGCATGAGTTCTCCATGTTTAGCAACACATTGAAATCCAACATTTAAAAGAATTCATAAAAGTTCACCGAAAAATAGGAATTTAAAATTTTAATTAGACGAATATTTTTTTTTGTTTTTAGTGGATCACCGGAAATCTTTGAAATCTTTGAAGTTTGGAATAACAAAGCTAAGGGTTTGAAGGGTTTCATTAAATATTATCACTGATATACCTAGTATAATTTATGTATAAAAATATTATTATAGCTACCATGAATAAAATTATTACTCCGTATATTGTAGAGTTGAACATAATCATGGTCAATAAAGTTACTATATAGTAAGAACTATGTATAAAAAGTAATATTTTTGTCCACTACATTTATAACGGTCATATATTTGTTATTATTTCATGTTTTTTCCCTTAAAATATAACAAAAAGTTCTTTAATTTATTTATTAACTTGAATATGTATTTAGTCCTTACAAATATGACACATTGTACTTTAGATTCATGTAAAATAGTTCTTTTTATAATTTCAATTTTGTTGGAATGATGTAAAATTAATCATTCACATTTTTAAATAATGATTAATGACATTGTAGAATACGAAATCATGTATTTTCTCAATGATATGATAATCCTTAGAGCATTATCAATCAACAATTTTTTATTAATCACGTAACTTTTGATTTTATGCACTAAATTGTGTGAAAATCCATATATGTAAAGTTGAGGTTGTTTTTTCCGACTGAATTGGTTGAAGTTGCTTGAGAGATTTTAACTATTTTTCATAATTTTGTCGTCTTTGAATTTTTTGATTAATCATGTTCAACTCTGATCAATTATATATTTTTACAGAAAATAATTGTAGTATAAAATGACTTCTCGGTTAAAATTATTTTCAAAAAAGTATAAAATTTATAACTTTCATAGTATTGTACTAATAGATACTATGTTCCAAATTTTACCACCGCTGACCATATTACAGTAAAGATAAATATCTATAATCATTTTAATTGTTAGGGAAATTTTTTATTTAATTTCTTGCATATGATAAAAATCAATCGATGATAGCTAAGATTATTATAATTAGATACTACACATTTCTTTTTTATTGATTGAACATGTAAGGGAAAAGGTGCAAATAGGTCCATGTACTAACCCAAAAAGGTCAAATAAGTCCTTATTTAAGAGTCTTTGTCCGGTCGTCGCCATTTGGAGTGGTTCCCGGTGGAATTTTTTGATAAATTTTTTGAGCGTCTTATTCATTAAGTCTAGTTTAATCATACCAAATTTCAGCAAAAACTTCAATCGGGAAGGCATTGAAATGAATTCTTGAAAATAACTGCGCAGTTAGAAGCGCAGTTATTCAAAAATTTATTTGAATGCCTTCCCGATTGAAGTTTTAGCTGAAATTTGGTATGAGCAAACTAGACTTGATGAATAAGATGCTCAAAAAATTTCATTAAAAAATTCCACCGGGAACCACCCCAACTGACGACGTTTGGACAGAACTTCCTAAATAAGGGCTTATTTAACCTTTTTTGGTTAGTACATGGGCCTATTTGCACCTTTTCCCAACATGTAATGGATCACTTGAGATCCTTATTGGCACAAGATCGATTATTTCAAATAATTGATAATTGAGATTACTATGTATAAGTGTGCTTGAGGTTATTATTGTTGTAATTATTGTTATTATTTGATAGAGTATTAATTCTAGAGAGAAGTGAGAGTTAGAGAGAGAAAGTGAGTAATTATATTTCTCAACCCCTTATAATAGCCCCTTGGGGTCTATTTATAGGTAAAAATGTGGATTTGGACTCCTAGCCTTGGGCTTAGGAGACTCATTACAACAATCATGCCTTCTTTGGGCGAATAGGGCCACTAATGGGCTGAGTACAACACTTGATAAATAAACTATGAAAAAACATTCTGCCTGGACGAAGCGGTCCATGGACGACGCGGTCCATGGACGATGCGGTCCATGAACGATGCGGTCCATGGACGATGCGGCCCATGGACGATGCGGCCCCTGGGCTGTGCCCTAAGGGACCTGGGTGATATCTTCTCCTTTGGACGTTGCGGGCTTCTGGGCCGATGCGGGTGTCCTACTGGCGCCTTTTGGGCCGTTGAGCATGTGGGCCATGGGGTCCAGGCCCATATACTCTATCATTATTATTATTGTTGTTGTTGTTATTGTTGTAGTTATTATTATTAATATTGTTGTTGTTAATATTGTTATTATTATTAACGTTGTTGTCGTCGTCGTCATCATTATCATTATTATTATTAGGGGTAATTTGAATTTGCACCCCATATTATTGTCCAAATTGGACTTTGCACACCGTTTTTAAAAACCTTTGTTTTTGCACCCCAATCCCATATGAAAAGACAAAAATGTCCCTCCATTAACAATTCATTTAGCATTCAACATATTCTTAATTGAGAACATTTTTGTCTTTTCATAAGGGGTTGGGGTGCAAAAACAAATGTTTTAAAAAATGGGGCGTAAAGTACAATTTGAACAACAATATGAGGTGCAAACTCAAGTTATCCCTTATTATCATTGTTATTATTATTATTATTATTACTCCCTCCGTTCCCGAAAGAAGTTCTCACTTTTCTTATTTGGATGTCTCTAATTTAAGTTCTCATTTCCTTAAATGGAAAGTTATCCACATCAAAACAGTGTCAAACAGTGCAAAACAATGTCAAACAGTGTCGAAACAGTGTCAAAACAGTAAAATTTACCCCTGATAAGTTTACTTGCATAAAAGTGTGTGAAAGTCAAATGTGGAACTTCTTTCGGGGATGAAGGGAGTATTATTTTATTGTCATTATTTTATTATTATTATTATCATCGTCAATTTTTCCATGGTACTCATTATTATTGAGTGTTTGAATTTCCCTCAGTAGGGTTTAAGAGCAGCCCGCTGCTCAGCTCAACTCTCACAGGCTTAGCTGCCCTTTCCCTCCTTCATCTGCGCATCACCACCATGAATTACAGGTTTCATAACCTACTTGGAGCTCCATACAGAGGTGGAAACGCCTTGGTGGTAAACAACACCCTGTTGATTTCGCCTGTTGGTAACCGCGTCTCCGTCACCGATCTTGTCAAATCCGAAACCGTGACATTACCATGCCAGTCCTCCTCCAATCTCCGCCGCATCGCCGCCTCCCCTGACGGCGTCTTTATCCTCGCAATCGACGAAAAGAACCGGTGCCTCTTCATTAATCTTCGCCGTCGTGCCGTCCTCCATCGCATCACCTTCAAACATCCCGTATCCGCCGCCAAGTTCAGCCCCGATGGCCACTCCATAGCTGTCGCTGCTGGCAAGCTCGTGCAAATTTGGCGCTCTCCTGGCTTCAGAAAAGAGTTCTTTCCTTTTGAGTTGATACATACTTTTGCTGACTGCGACGATAAGGTCACCTCACTGGATTGGAGCCCAGACTCCCAGTACATTCTCGCCGGTTCGAAGGACATGATTGTGAGGCTCTTTTGCCTTAGTAAATTGAACAAGTTGCATAAGCCATTTTTATTTGTGGCCCACAGGGATGTGATTGTTAGTTGTTTCTTAGGAGTTGATATGAAAACCCAAAATGTTTCTCGAATTTATACCTTATCACGTGATGGAGCCCTTTTTAGCTGGGGTTACTCTGAAACAGATGAGGAATCTGGTGAATTGGATAGTGATATTTCTGAACCAGAACCCCCAAGTACACCAGAGCAAAAGCAAACACAGAATGAGGATGTTGATAACAATGTTGGTTCCAAAAAGAGGAAGGGCGTTTATGGGAAAGACAAAGACTTGGGCAAAGAAAAAGGCTCTTGGTTGCATACACAGAAATGGGAGTTGTTGAAGAAGGATTATT